CGACATGGCAGTTGACTTCTGACTTCAAACTCCCATCACCCCACTCAATGTCATATTCAACCACTTGCACAGTACTCACCTCACATTTTTCTACCTCTGTGTTTGCCTCTTACATTTTTGAAACACTCTTCTGTCCCCCNAGGATGCACCACGTGGATGTAAGTCTATCGGACACCCCATGTATTCATCAATTAAATTGTGCTTAATTTCAACATGAGTCTTTCAAAGCGAAATTGCCTTAGAAATTTATTCGATAGATCTAAGTAGCGATTGGTGCAAAGGTATTTGTGCTAAAGAAGAATTTTGTCGACTTCTAACTAGGTTNCCCCCCCCCATCCTCACGTCTTTTTTTCACTTTGATGTTCCTCCTACCCTCTGTGAAGCCTGAAGTCAAATAAAGGGCTAATGATAACCATCAAGACGCCTGCCAATTAATGTAAATAAATAAACGTATACCATTACCTGTTGATGCATTTTGTTTCATCAATAAGAAACTTGTCGGAGATGACTGCTTTCGAACGCCAAAATATTCATTTTGCAATAAGGTGACAAAATATCTATTGGTTTTAGATAACAGAATCAATCTATACTTTTACACATTACTCATTCAAAGATTAACTTGAATATAAGAGTTGGAATGTGAGTGCATGGTTGGCATCTTCTGTTTAATAGATCTCTGTTAAGCCTTATGACCTTCTTTTTCTAACATCCACCTAAAATTTATTGTTAATATTTTTGAAAATATTGTCGTCTAATTTCGTTCAAATGCTTTGAATTTGGAATGAGTACTTGAAAGCATCCGTCCCCCATTGTGAATATTGCATTAAGTAGTTTTTGCTTAATATTTTATTTAGCCGATTACTTTGAACATAGGTGCATGCTTATAGTTTAAACTTAGTTACTTAGGATTAAGATAAATGCAAATTTCGATATTTTCTGTTCGTTCATTAATAAAATACCAAATTGAATAAACTGATTGGTTAAGTGCCTTCATGAATAGCTGAGCTTTCTTTTCTTGCAAAAAAACAAAATTAAATATTTTTTTATGAAACACTTAAAGGTAAATTTAATTTTCTTAAAGCTAAATCAAGCGATTATCTGCTTGTTGGACGATTAGCGGAAAGTCTCGTCTTCTGTTTTGAATTTTGGAAATTCATAAAATATCATTTTGTTAAAATAGGCCATAATTCAAGTGGTTTTCAAGAATACAGCTCCAAATTGTTTGGGTATTGTGAAAATTATCTAAAATTTTTTGAATCCATTTTTTCGTTATCTCCTTATAAGAAAAACGCAGCATTGTTTAGACCTTAGTAAGTTACAGTTCTATGAATATTAGTCAATGTTTTTTTTAATTTTTTTTAATATCAAAAGTAAAAAAAATATGTTCGATGTCATTCTAATTCCACTATTCTATCAACTTATTCTAGGTTAAAACCGATTAATATAATTGAACAAAATTTTTCTTAACCTCACAAATATGGATTAGATCAACTAGACTGAATATAAATTCATACAATAGAATTCTTTCAGTACCATTAAGCATATAACGCACTCTAAAATTAGCAGACATGGATACATTTCTTGGAATAATCCCACACAAGCATTTGATATGTTAAACAACAATTATACTGGTTGTTAATTATTCTCAATTCATATTGGATAATCAAGAGCAATTCAAAAACGGCGGGAGGTTTGATCACGAAAATAAAAAGTTTTTTTAACTGTCAATGCGGCACCTTATAAGTATCCTCAATTTAAAGGCGAACCCCATGTAAGCATTATGAGAAATACGAATTTCGATTTTTTAAAATTATATTGAACCCTTATTAATCTTTATTTAGTATATTCTTGAAAATTAATGTTTTTGGTAATTAATTTTAGCTTAATTAAAAAAATAGAAAAATTTTACTGAACACCGAAACCACTGTCTAGAAAAATAAAGATTGCTTTAATTCGTTGGGAATCTTGAAAGTTATTAATTTTCGCAGAAATGCAACGCAATTTCCAATTCACTAATTATAAATAAAGGTGGGTATGTTTCTGTCAGTAAAATCAAGAAACGTTGAAAACTCCTTGAAGTATATTCTCAAATTATACAGTCGAATCTTATTATTCCTTCATTTGTTCCTACGAGTTGAGAAACAATGATCCATTCAGTATGAAATTTAACAAAATATGTTAAAAATCTGAAAAGTTAGCTGTTGTTGTTTAGAAAGCGTTGCTATTGCTATTTAATGATTTCCGAAATGGGTTTGCTCTGGTTAATTTATTTCAATACAATTTCATAAAAAATAATTGGCTTCAATCCTATTATTATCGATTTTACAAACTACGCACATTTCGATCTACTTAACAAATAGGTTTTAAGTCAACAGTCCACAACACATACTTTTAAACTGCTGATATTCCGGGGGCTTCGTATAAAAGGAAGAATATAATTAAAGGATTATATACCTTTTGATAGGAAAATTTAATGTGAAAGGCGGGAAGCCAATCAAGAAGATTTCAGGACGATTTATATGATAGCGGTCCCAATTTTTGCTTTACCCCTAATTGTGGCTAGGGATATTCAGAGCCTCATTCCCTCTCCCCCCTTCCCTTCCCGACTCTCACCCAATTAAAGCAAAACTGCTTGATGAAAAGAAGCTGATCTTAACTCATTGATCAGAACTTTGAATTTGTCGTTATCTTTAAATTTTCACACTTTTCAAATTGGTTTGAATTGCCTCTATGAAATGAGGCTGGTACGAATTTGAGTCCTGCTGAACTCGAAGGAAAATACTGAGTACATTGTGATCGATAATCAAATGGTGAAAGTCTGAGGTAGTGGAGAGGGTGTAGGGCATTAGATTTCTCAGAAGGAAATGAGAAGGGGAGGGTGGGGGGGGGTGGGACAAGTTGAAGAAGAATGCCTGGGGTCAAGACTGCCTAAGATGAACGAAGAGTAACTGAGGAGGGTTGTAGTTTAAGCCAGTCTAATAAAGTATAATTATTGCCTAAGGCAGGTTTATTGTAATCTCATTTGTAGTTATTTTTATCACTTTTATAGGCAAGAAACCTCGATTTCTGCTAAAATTGCTTTCCTGTAACTCGAATTTAAAATTATATTTTTTTCTGTAAGTCACCACGTATTCGACGGAGTTGGCATTCATTTGCGAATATCGGAGTAAAGGTCCTTTATAACATATATTTTATATGTATATTGAATAATTCAGTTCTTAAATGTGCACATAACAGAACACATTCCAAAGAGGTCATACATCTCTCTCTAAAAAGGGTCCTATTCTCCCACAAGTAACCACAACACAATTCGTGTGCTATGTACCCATACAGTATAAACACTTAAGAAAATTCCCAGTTCCGTATAAGCTACGAATGTCAAAAGGAAGCTTGAAATTAGAGTCGCATTAAAATGAGCATGAATAAAGAAACCACTTAGAACACCCAATATTAATTTGTTACATTTTGTAATGTAAAGGGGTGCTAGAGCAACATTAAAGTGGATGAGGAAGAGGAGAGGGGGGGGGAAGGTTGGCTGATGTCTTTTTCCTCTATTCCCTCTTTAAGATGCATTAAGTGCTGTTGTGGCCTTAATTCCTATCAAAAGCTTCCAGTTAGCGCGCCAAGATTATTATCAAGGTCATTTAGCCCCTTCAGTATTTGGTTTTATTGGTGGCGGGGTGGGGGAGAGAGAATCGATTTTTTGTGTCTTCACTGTGGCTCACTACTTGTTCCAGAATAAGGCATTGATAGTTGAGGCGAAATAAGAATGAAGAGATGACAAAGTATGAGTCTCTACTTTTTAAATTTTAAACAGGAAGTAAAACTGAGTGAGAACTAAATTCCATTCTACCCAGACATTATGACGTGGGTCGAAACAATATGGCGTAAGCATTTTGTTCACTTAAATATTAGTGCCCCTAAAAGGTATTCTATCAATTGGAACATATTAAATGAACCGAATGACTATTTGAATATTTGATATTTTATATTGAAATTAAGAATAATTTATATATGTTATGCTATATTTTTCTTGATTTGAACACAGATTATGTATTTGCATTGCAATTTTTAAAATAGTAAGAAATTTCATTGATGTTTAATATTTCCAGTAAAATATTCGTGTAATAAATACTTACTTGAATGCAGTTTACTTGATTGGCCTCAGTGATAGGGAGGCATGTTTGAAGTCTATTTTTATTTTATATCTCAGCCAATCAAAAGCGATTTTGACCAGCTCAACAACCCATTTTATCAGGTTCCAGACAACTAATAGGTGTAAATTAGACATCAATATTTATTTAGGTTGTGGAATTAACAACACAAAGAAATTCGTAGGTCCATGAAAATTCTGAAGGTTTCCGTTTGCTATTGATCACGTTCTGAGCACGCGTAGTGTGCAGGTAGAGGTTTCCAATCTAATCAGATATTGATGGTTTGATTTTAATTGCATTTAACTACAATGCCATTTTGAAGTAAAATTTCTTCATATGAAACCTATCGATTTCTTGTCACTTTAAACTTAGCCAAGCAAATACTGACAAATTTAGGAAGAAGCTAGATGTATTTTTTCGGGAATTTGGGCTTGTTAGAGAATTACAAAATTTTAACCAAGGGCCTGTTTCTTGAAGTACTCACTGCAACGTTCATAAAATGCACTAAAATTTATATAAATATTCCCATTCGTTAAATTATATTGAAAATAGAAGTTGACGTCTTTAAATTTTACAAAGGTAATTATTTGCGTGTTATCAACCTAACCTTTAGAAATCGATATAACCATGGACAATAAATACCCTATTCTGATAAAAGATATTTTTATATCGGCCTGAAAAAAAACAGGAAAGGTTCTTCACAAAAATTGCTAAAGCAGCGTTGCTTTGACATAATGGAATTCGCCTGCTGCTTATTCCAGAGAAGAATGCAAAGGCGATTATTCTGCCTAGCCAATCACCTTAGCGAATTTCACAAGGCAATCATTTCATTGGCTCAGCACAAGAATGCGATTCATGTGGTTATATAAAGGGAATGGCGGTTTCGAGTTTCCACTTAGCAAGCAAAAACATAGGGAGAAAGGGAAGTTACTTCGTAGAGCAAACATGACTGCCACATTTCCTGAAATGGCTCGAACAGTATCTTTTGGTCTTATGTCGGACAGCAAATCTCGATCTCAGAGCCAAAGAAGCCATTCTGTGGTGAGCATTGCTCTCTACAACGAAAATGGGGAAGACGATATTGTGGAGATCGATGAAGCTGACGATGTTTCTCAGGAACCTATAGACTCTCGTATTTCCTCGTGCAATTGTAAGCATCATTCATATATATGTTTTTAAAATTATCAAAGTCATCTCTTATCTAACAAGTGAATTGACTTTTGGCAGGCTCTATTGAAAATGATATGAGAGTTCGCAGACAATCAATTGCAGATCGTGTTAACAGACGTCGAAACACAGAATTCGCTTTTGAATTTACCCGCGTAGAAGCTGCCGGCAGAGCCAAAGAATTCCTTCGACTTTTAGAGGAGCATTCTCGACTTGTACATTCTGTTCAGTTCTGGTCCACTGCCGGTATGTTGTTGTATTCATTCTTTTCTACATTTTTTCTTTGACTACATGATATACATATATATATATATATATATCGTTATTTAAAATTGGTCTATTTGATGTTTGGTCGGTTATATAAGCCTAATGAATAAAAGAGTCTATATGCAATTAATTGCCCAAATTTCTGATGTCAATTGCTAACTGGCTTACTTTTCAATTCTTTTTCTTATTCCAGCAGCTATGCAGGATAATGCCAAGCCATTTTCCGTTAAATTCAAATTAGACTCTCAGAACACAACTCCTACTGAAACGCAGAAGGACCCATGAGGTGGTAACAGCCAACATTAACGATAATTCCACATCTTCGAAATGCAAGGAATGAATGAAATACCATCATTCTGAATATCTCTCACACCCCCTCCCCCATTACCAGCATTACCACGTTTGTACGAAGACTATTTAAATGCTAATATCCTTGTTTGTTGCAGCCACTTGTATATATATATTTAATGCAAAAAGATTTTGTATTCATGCCATTAAGGAAATAATGATCTTCATGTTTCTTGAATTCAATTCACTTTTTTTCGATACAAACCGATTTCCACCTACCAAGAAATGTTTTAAGATGCAAAGTGTTTCATAAGGAGAAAAAATTTTAAAATAAACTCTTATGGAGTGTTACTTTAATGTAATCCTATTCGAGGGAAACAAATTCAAAGTGATTAAAAAGTCTCCGATTGCTCAATAGTTCTCCCAAAATTGAATTCTTCAAACAAACTTTCTATTCCGAAGCTTGTTCAACACGTACGTATTTTTTTTATTCAATTGAGTAACCACATTTTGTTGATAATTGACTTATTGAATAAAGAAGAGTTACTAAAAGCTTGAGGAAAAAACCTTTTGAGTGCTTTCTTGTAAGTTGCTACCACAAGTCAATTTGACTTCTGAAACCGTCAGATCTCCTGGAAATGAGTGATTAATCGCTATTCACGCCTCAATCTTTTATAAATGCAGGGTGTATTGTATTCTGCATTTCAGAAACGGGAGTAATTTTTTAAAAGACACCGTACTGAAACATTCCTGAACAGTGAAAATTGAAGTTACTATGGAAGTAAAGTTTAAATGATAAATTGGCATTTCGTTATTCAAAATTAGCCAAAAGTTGAAGCATCTATAAGCAACGCTGTTAATTTACAGTGTCATCGATTAGCATATCGCTTAATAAAATTTCAAATTTTAGAATATTTTGTAAAACAAGAAAATATGATATAATCAAACCAAAATTGGTTATTTTAAAGAAGTTGATGACTCCTGCAGTGAAGACAAAAAAACATTAAGTGGAATTGAACTATTCAGTTTATTTCAAGGGCTTACCTGAATCTATACTCAATTCAGACAGGAAAATGTGGGTAACCAGTCAACCTTTTCCAAGGTATTTGCTTGTGTTATCCAAATTCATTTCACTTGAAACATGAAATTTAACTTACAAACAATTATGTTAAGTCATCTATAATTAACCCTCTAATAGGGAAAAGAGAGATTTTAGCATCGAGGACTCAAATAATATGCACTGTGCAATGGATAATAATTAAAATGTGATTAATAATGACTAATGAAATCTTTTTATTATTAGTAGCTTTTAATGACTGTCATTAGCACATAAATCTTGTAAGTTTCTCGAAAAATTAAATTAAAAATTCATTTTAAATGTAATAAGGCCTAATTTTAATGAATATTTGCACGGATTAACTTTCCATTGACTCTGAAACTTTAAAATGTGAAAACTAGGAAAATACAATAGACTTAAGTATTTTCTCGACAGAATTTCATAAAAGTAGATCAAAGAAAGGTTGAATATGGAGTCCACAAATTCTTGAAATTCAAACAAATTAGATTAACAGGTAATTCAATTTTCTATAGGTCAGCGGCTAAATAACCTTTGGAATTTAATTATCATTGGTTTTCAGGATAATCACAGATATATATCTATATATTCTTAAGGCGTTTCCATTATACTTGAGTTTTATTCAATAATTAAGAGTTTTATAATTATTTCAAATGTCAGGCGTATTGAATAGTTATCATTAGCCATTTAGCCGACTTCGGGCATCACAGAGGGAAGGAACATCAAAGCAGAAAAAATTCGAAAAAAGTGATCCACAGATGTAGCTGAGACAGACAGAGACAAAGGTAGAGAAAAATGTGAGATGAGTACTGTGGAACATGACATTCAGTGGGATGATGGTAATTTGAATTCGGAGGTCGAATGTCGAAAAATAATTTTTTACCGTTTGAGTACACGCTGCCCAGGGTGCACCACATGGGGAGGTTAGTCCATCGTCCACCTCATACTTAAGAGTTAAGGTAACGTATAAGCGACCGGTTCGTAAGCCCATAAACGCCCAACTATCGCACATGTGATAAGGTGAATTGGAAAATTAAATTAAAATATCTTTTTAAAATAACTAAATTAGTGACATCCAACGAAATACAAGGCATGTGTAGGAAAGGCATTTGAAAAAACTACATTCGAACGCCAAGTGCTTTGTCCCAAAAGCTGGGGCCACCCAAAGGGAGCTTAGAATTTTTAAGCCTCAAATCTCACCAAGAGAACAAAGATTGGTGCAAATATTTCGCAATCCATTACGCACTAACGAAAAAAGAAGATAACTATGGCAATAGCAAGAAATGGCTGTGGGTGGGGGGGGGAGGGTTTGATTCTTCCAGCAATTTACCATCATTAGTAAAGTTTAGTCATGGATGACTGGTATACTAGCGAATTGAGAATGAATTGATTAACTAACCTACTTTGCGCAAATGAGCTCTCCACTAAAATTGCTCCAGCCTGGCAATATAAAAGAAATAAAAAAATTTTAGGGTTAGATTAAAAGACGATTTATCATATCGGAGGAAATAGCGTTGCTGAAGTAGAGTCCAATCAAATGCTCCCCTTCAACTATGTTCTTATCCCTGCGAGTTTAATTGCTTTGTCCGCAATCCAGGTCATTCATCAAACGTTTTAATCTCCTCTAATTACATAATTAATTGCGTGTGTCACTATCTTGGCATATTTTTCCATGGAATGTTGTAAGTGTATATTTTTTATGCTTCATGTCCCCTCCACCTCCTCCTGCCTATCAATAGTAAAACAGATCCCTAAATCACCAAGACCATTGGAAGGAGAAATTACCAAACTATTTTAACTTGAGCACGTACTCCCAAAACTAAGTACACTTTAGTTGCTAATTGCATTGCAATAAGGGGTGTTAGGTGAATTTTCATTGATGGCATCTTCTTCTCGACCAATGATTATGGTTACAGAGAGAAAATCTCCCCACCGCCAAGGAGATGGGGAAATGAAAGAACAATGGGAAAATAATGCATTAGAGATTAAAATTGAGTTTGCCTTAGAAAAGTTCTCGTCCTCTTGTAAAGTAACCGCTCATTCTGAACTGCTATGAAGCTGGAAGTTGTGCCACTATGTGCTCTAGAGTTCAGTTTCCCTAATAGAGATCAGTTTTAATGCGCATATTACCTTCATACTTCCACTGCTTCTAAGGCAAAGAAACCGCTGGAATACCATCAGCTCGGGCTCTGAATATCTGTCAGACTGTCTGGAATGGTGTGAGCCCAGTATTTATGGGAATGATTGTCAGGTTTGCCAAAACCTTAGCAAATTGTTTATCGCAGGACAGAGTGAAACTCCATGGTTTTGAGATTAGCTTGGATAAAAATATTTATTTATTTATTTATTTCAAATGGCAGGCTTTATGATATTTATCATTAGCCCTTAATCTTTGACTTCAGCTTCCCCCCAAGAGGGGGGGGGGTACATTTATAGCAGTTAATTAATAGCAGTTCATTAGCAGTCTTCTTGCTTCCCAGTATCTTTGGCTTTCCATCCTTGTCTTTAGAGCTGGACACCGAATCAGGTGGGTCTTCTCCATTTCCTCATGTAGGTTACATAGAGGGCATGTGGGTTGAGTGTATACTCCCAATCTGTGAAGGTGTTATACCAGAGAATCGTGTCCGGTACGTAGTCTAAACTCAGCAACGGCTTCGATTCTTGGCCAGTCGGGTATGTCGGAGAGTGCCACTGTCCACTATTTCTCCTTTGTTCGAGCTTTGAGTTCGTTGCACCTTGAGGTGTGGAATTCTCTCCTGATTAAGGCCTTCATTGTGTGGAAAGACATTGGCCGGTCTACGCATTGCAAAATCGTTATCCCCTTCTTAGCAGGTGTGCCAGCAAGCTCATTGCCTTTAATGCCACAGTGACCATGAATCCATTGCAGGACCACTGTTTTGTTTTACTCTCTCAGCAGCTCATAGAGTTTTCTACATTCCTTTATCTCAGCTGTTTTGGGTGTCTCTCTGTTTCCAATAGAGTTTATTGCTGACTGTGAGTCCGAAAGTATCACCGCTTTGGTGAATTTCGTATCCAGGCAACATAATTGGCGTAGTGCTATCCTAATGGCCTCTATTTCTCCTTCAAAAGCGGATCTATTGTATCCCGCTGCTGCGTAGAAAGAGAAGAGTTCAGAATAGACACCTGCACCAACGTTTGCTTGGTTTTCCATGTATGACCCATCAGTGAAGACTTGGAGCCATTGATCTGCAGGATAGTTGACATTGATTGTCTCAAGGGCCAGTGAGCGCATTTGCTCGGGAGGAGTGTTTGATTTCCTGAAGAAGTCGAGTAGTTGGGTGCGACACACTACATCAATGTCTGCTAATGGGTTCATGGGGAGAGAGAGGCTTTTTGGTTGATCATCGATTTGTAACGCTTTCTTCAGTTCTATGGGTTTCTGTATTAGACCAGATTGCGTTTTCAGATGTCTTGGTCTATTCTCATAGGTGCTGAAGAANGGTAATACTAGCAATGACTGGTTTGTGACCAGAACCAGGATCGTCAATTATTTTGCGTCGTGTATGCTCACTGATGTCGCTTGAAGCCAAGAGTAAATCAGGAGTTGTTCTGGATCCATTGTAGTGCAAATATGTAGCCGGATCCTCATTGCTATAAATAAGTTCCAGAGTGTTGCTGTTTAGCATGTCTTCAATTTCCTTTCCAGCTATGTTTGTATCCCTGTAGCCCTAGGTTAGGCCATCTTTTACTCCAGTTAGAATTCCACTTGCAACTTGCCGGTATTTAGGTAGATTGTATAGAGTGTAACCTGGGAATCGGTAATACTTCAGTTTGTCATCCGAAATGTTAGCTTCCATAATTGTGAAAATGTCTACATCATAGGTTTGCAGGATTTTCTGTATTTGGATCTTTTTGTCCGGAGACATTCCTCCAGCATTCTACTGGAGGATCTGAAGACATT